TTTTTTTGTGTCATGCCAATTAAGTCTGCAAAGAGTCATCCACCATGACTGTTTGATGCTGCTTGATTAAACTGCCCAATTTAATCCATCAGTTTAATACACTCGGTGCACAAAAAGGGTTTTGTCTCAATTTCTGATTTCACATTATATTTTACAAGGCAATACCCCTCATTAAGTTTTCAAGTAGTAGTAGTCATTTTCTAATCAGCATACAGCCCCCCCACCCACCAACCTTCAATCATACAGTTGACACGGTCACAAATTTAGAGTGGAGGACGACATTTGCATCACAAGGACCATAGTGAACCCCAGCTCACTGGCAGAAGCGGAAACCATGAATGGGCTTAACCCCTCACCCTGCCTGTTCTCTAAAGCCCTGGATAGGTGCATGAATTACTTTACTTTTTTTTTTATTCCTGCTTTCTGCAATATCAGACCAAAGCCAATTTGTGCGCACTCATATCACAAAAGGATTTTAATACAATTGCTTAATTCACTTCCACAGTTTAGTGCAACACTTTGAAAAATGTGGGCAACAACATCCCTGTGGGGGAAAAAAGCTCCAAAGTGTGCGCTGCTACCCCCAGTTGTACAAGTATCATGTGTCCCCTGTTGCTATGGCCAGCTTTTAGTGAGGCTGTTCAGAAAAGTTAAAAAAAACACTTTTTCCCCTCAGTCATGTTGAGACAATACTGAAACCTTTAGGGTTATGGAATAAATTTGGTTATGGCAAATGAGTCATAGATAAGGTGTGGTTAGGGTTAGGCAACCGAACAGGTTAGAGGTTGTAGTTAAGGTTAATTAAATGTGAAAAGTGAAATCCAAACATTTACAGCCACTTCACGCCATAACTGAGCAGCTGTGCAGAGGTGAGAAAAGAGCCAGGATTTAAACTTCTGCCCCAAGCTCTCATTTTTCATTCTTTTTCAACTGATTCTGATACTTTTCATGTGAACAACCAAGGGCAACAGTACGATGGTTTTCCAGGGATCACTGTCAGAAACCATACGCTGCATTTCTTTAAGTTGCTGCAACCCCTCCCCGCTATGACAGTCGTCTTTCCAATAGAAATAACTACAAAAGCATGATTTCTGATGTGGTCTGACAACATGTTTTACCATCTGGGTCTCATAGAGTTAAGTCCAGCCCTGAAACCGCCAGTATGCTTCATCAGAACTGGTTCTCTGCTGGTTGCGTAGCTTCAGAAACCCTCCTCCTCCTCCAGTTTTTTGATATTCAGATCAGTTTATCTTGTCGGCTTTTCAGAGCCTGTTCAAGGCGAGAATGTTATGCATACCATTCTACAAATACCGAATTTGGGGGTTAGTCAGGGTATTGTTGTTCTGTGATTATGCCAGCAGAAGAGATGGTCACATAGCCTGAACAAAGATGGGACAGACGCCAACACGGTTGTGTTACAGCCATGCCCCTGATTCTGGAACATTGGCATGATGTGTTAGGCCATGAACCAGGCTTTGTGTTTCAGTGAACAACAAGATATATTGAGGGGTCTCCTCAACCGCAATACAGCAAGATCTCTGTATCAGGCTACATCCATACAAATGTTTTAGTTTGGAAACGTACCAACTCCTGTGCATTTACACCTGGCGTCCACACTTCACCAGAGTTTTAGAGCTATTAAAACAGAGACGTTTGGAAATGCTGCTGGCCCCATTTTTGCTTTAAAACTCTGGGGCTGCATTTTAGTCTGAATATGTTTGAAAACAAAAATGACACTCATAACCACTGGCTGATTGGGTCTTTTCAATCACTTCTTAGCCTTCACTGATTCAGGCTTCAATCACATGACCCCCTTCTGGACGAAAACAACCTCGGCTGCCAGTGTAGAACACAACATGGATAATCAATTACAAGTGTTGCTGTCTCTGTTGTCAGCAGTTAAACTCTAGATTCTACTTCTAGCCATTGCTGCTTCTTATTTGTACTCTAGCTCTTTCTGCAACTAACAACCAAATGCTTCCTGTGAAGACCCACACATGCCCACAATGGAGGGGAATTATGGTTCCATCTTTGTGCTGCCTGTTGATGTAGTCACAGAGCCGGATCGATGTCTTTGTACAAAGGAGATTTAGAACCGTGGGGACAGACACCGGCACTGTTGTGTTAAGGGTCACGCCTCTGATTCCGGAACGCTGGCATGATACAGTTTGTTAAATCGCACACAGGAGCAGCAATATGCCGACTGATTCCTAGGATACGGTACTGTGTATATCCTGTCACACCACGATGATGATGTTTGATGGGAATATTGGCTACTGCTCTGGTCGAATCTGTGATTTCTCTACACACAGAGCATTACTCAGTTTTTACACATTCATGCCCAGAAGCAGTACAACCTCAATCTTCTACTGTCGGAGGCCGAGCAGCCCTCTGGAGTTATTGCAATTCAAGGCTGCTACGTGCTTCAAAAGAACTGCTGCTGACTGATGATGGATGCAGTCAGATTGAGTCTGAACAGTTTTTATGTTGTGGGTAAACAACAACCTGACAGTGACTCACTTTCCTTGAGTCTACTGGAGTGTTTTTTTTCCACACAAACATGACTGGCATGACTGTCATCCTCCTTTGCATGATAAAAAGTCCTCAAAGTTGTTTCAGCACATCTCACCCCTGATAAGTTTCTCCATCTTAATGTCGTGCTGTTCAAACCCAGCTGCACACCTCTCATACATAATGAATGAGGGCTAACTGTTTGTCTTGTGAAGTCGTCTGCGAGTAACGCAAGCTCCTTGCTCAAGGGTGCAGTTGATGAGGGGAGAATCCACTCCACAAGTGCACGTCTCTCACCTCAGTAAAATACCTCTTTTATTATGATCTTCATCCCTGTGGTATCAATAAATTAACAAGTCTGCAGATATTGTGGTCTCTCTGAAAAAGAAAAAAATACATAGCTGCAAGGACTCATCCCACCTATGAATATAAATGAACTTCATGCCATAACACGCAAGGTAAAACAAAAAAAATCACAGTTTTCCCAGGAACTCATTACAGACGCAGTGAGGCAGGGCTTAATGTTGTTTTGACTGAATTGTAGTTATCAGTAGGCCACCGTGATGAGGCTCAATTAGAGCAGCATGCTATGAGCTAAGCAGAGGTAATCACTGGGCGGAGGGCAGACTTATGTGGAGGCACGGATATTCACTCTGAACAGAAAAAAGCGAGGGATTCACAATAGGACCTGGAGCCGTGGAGAGCAGCTAATGAGCCTACATGATTCACGCTTGGTCTCCCCCACAGAGAGCCTTGTCCTGGGCAGAGCGGAGGCGCACAAGAGGTGCAGTTTTTACTCCAACACATTCCACGACACAGCCTGTCAGAGCCAGGAGGGTAAAGGGGGCGATTAAAAGTTTCTCTTGCAAATGCTGAGATGAATGAAAGCTTTTTTCCCCTGCATTTTATTGGAATCTTGATTTAATCTGGACATTGTGGACGTGTTTATTTCATTAAACAGAGCAGAACAATGTGTCCTGACACCAAGACTCTATCCTTCCCCATTCAACCTGATGTTGCAGAGAGCTCACAAGAAAACCTGCCTGGGGTTTTAATGGGTAATTTTCTTGTGAATAACTATTAACACTACAGACAAGTGATGATCTGAGCAGATATACCTTATCCTCCATGCCAGGTAATTGCTTTTAGATTTAAATGGGACAAATAAAAAAAAACTGTTGTTGGGTTTCTTTGTAATATTGTAAATTCTTGACTGCACCATATAAAGTGCCTTGAGATAATGTATGTTGGGATTTTAAAATGTAATGAATTACTGAGTAATGAGGTGTGAGAGGCATTGCCTAAATGATCTGCACTATCATTTATGGCGTCCAGGAGGTAGAACAGGTTGTTCAATAACCAGAAGGTCAGGGCTTCGATCCCAGTCTCCCCCTTTCCACATACAGAACCCCAAATGCACTGTATGAGTGTGTTAGTGCTAAGAGTGGTCACCAGGTTCATTCAGTAGAAGATGGTGCACAACTGTAATTGGTCCAACATGGATAAAATAATAATTAAAAAGGTGCTATTGTTATCCATAGATCAACAATGATAATAATGTCACTTCATTTCACTGCACCGTTCTAGGCATCCAAGGACACCTTACAATATAAACACATGGATAAACAAAGTAAAATCATGCTTTAATATCAGATTATGAGACAAAAACACCTATTAATACAGCAGGGGGGGGACTAAAAGTCAAACCAAGGGCTTAAAAAATGTAAGTAAGGGACAGATAAGATTTTATGTTGATTGATTGAAGATGTGTTTTTAGTTGTGATTTGAACAGTCCAATAGAGTCCAGCTTGAGGTTGTGAAGTACCAGAGACGTCCAGAGTCGTGATGCAGAGCAGCTGAAGGCTCTGCCACCTACAGTGCTGGGTTTAAATGTGGGGACAGAGAGAAGTAAATCAGAGGAAGAGCGCAGGGCATGGGAAGATGGAGAAGGTCCAACAGGTATGTGGGAGCCGGGTTATGGAGGGCTGTATTTATATAGTGATTTTCAAGTCTTGATGACCACTTAAAGTGCTTTACGGAGCTTCACCCATTCACACACACATTCATACAGCGCATCTATGTGCAGCACTTTCTTTTTCACATAGACACTATTTGAGGTTCAGTGTTGTTGAGCATCCCAGTAGAATCTTGTGGTGTATTATTTGTCGGGAGACTGGGATCGAATCTCTGACCCTCTGGTTAGTGGACAATCCACTCGACCTCCTGAGCCACAGTAGAATCTTAAAGAAAATGAGGAGTGATGTGATGTATTGATTAAAATGAGCTGGAACTCTGCTCCTGTGTTTCTTCCATTTATATTTCAGATTGTTTCTCCTCCACAGATCTCCACCTGCCTCGGATGTTATTGTTTTATGTGTTTTAAATACCCCCCACGTATTGGCCGTGGACGTGTGAGCGAGTGGAGGAGAAGTCTGTGTAGAATCTCGAGTATCGCTCATTAGAACACGCACTAAATAACCATCCAGACTTTTAAACCGAGGCGCGCTGTGATTGGGCGGCCGCGGTCCACGTGGTGCGGTGCAGTCAGTCGCTGTGCGGTGCCTGGAGCCAGCGCTGAGTGGAGCCTGTCTGCCAACAGCCTCAGCAGCGGCTCGATCTGGATCCTACTACACTCACTGACAATTAAACAGGAGGCCCCTTTTTCTTCTTATTCCCGAGGACCACTCTCCACCATGGGCGACAAGAAGAGCCCTACCAGGTAATGCGACCGCCCGCTGTCGATTTCGAGCCGTTCCGTGCGTCCTCGCGGCTCGTTATTCGGATGCGTTTCTCCGCTTCACGGGGATCGTTTCTCCCTTTTTCAGTTGGTATGCCACAGCTAGCTAGAATAGTGCAGTCACTATGGCGGCTTCTCGCTCCCCTCGCAGCCCAGTCACTTAACAGACAAAGGGATTTTTTTCAGCGGAGACGCCTGGCATTCCCCGGAACGCTCTTCCGTCTCCGTGAAGCCTTTCGGAGGGTCACTGTCGAAATGGACACGGTGTGATATCGGTTTCGTTAGCCGACATGCTAAGCGTCGATGCCGAATTTTTTAGCAACGCTCGCCTGCCTGCTAGCTCGTAGCCTGGCGATACAATCGGACGGTGTGGATGGTCGTCCGCTCCGCCGCCGAGGAGGGGGGACACGTTCAAAACCAAGGAGCTCCACTTACCGGGACTCGAACCCAATATTAATGACAACAGCAGCATGCTTTGTGCAGGAGAGTAGCTTATAAATCGCACAACAGGTTATGTTTGTCACCGCCACCGTTCGTGTAAAATCGTGGAGAAACGTTGTTGGCATTTTGTTTAACTAACTTGACCTTAACGACAGTGTCATTTATTTTTTTTATTTTTTTTTTGCAAAGGCCAAAAAGACAAGCCAAACAGACCGCAGACGATGGCTACTGGGACTGTAGCGTGTGCACCTTCAGGAACACCGCCGAGGCTTTTAAATGCAGCATCTGCGATGTGAGGAAGGGCACATCCACAAGGTAACGTAGCTCCTCTCCCTCCCTCTCTCCCCCTCTCCCCCTCTCTCCCCTCCAGTCTGAGCCCC